GGGGGGGGGGGGGGGGGGGGGACGCGCAGCCGCAGGCCTCGACCACCGCAACTGCAGACTCGGCGCGCGGCCCCGCCACGGATCGCGCCGGGAGCGGTTGGAGCCGGGCATGGCCTGGAGCCAGCCGGCGCTGCTGCTGCCCCCTCTGATGCTCCTGCTGCTGGCGACCCCTGCCCAGGTCTCCCCTGACTACCAGTACTTCGGCCAGCAGGGAGTGGGTGACACCTGGGAGCAGCTGCGGCTGCAGCATCCAAAGGGTAACCACAGGCGGCGCGGGTGACGGTGCCGAAAGTTTCCCCCTTGCCTATTTCACCAGCTGGCTACAAACAGACCCTCCTCCGTGGACTTCACATCTCCCCCCAGCTCGGCACTGGCGGCGTCCCCTTGGGCTGGTTACTTCTCTCTGATGCTCAGTTTTCTCATCTGTAAATTGAAACAGACACTGCCTTTGAGCAGCACACAGGAGCAGAGGGGGCGTGGGCAGGCAATAAACACCAGAGCCACATATCCATAAACTCGTGGATCGGTGCTGGGAAGGGCGGAGACGGAGAAAGAAGGGGGCGGGTAAGCTGGGGAAGTCAGAGAAGGCCCGGCTGGAAAACATAGGAAGCCAGTGCAGCCGGAATGACAGGCAAAAGCCAAAAATGCAAAGATTGGGGGAAAGCGTGTCCCAGGGCGGCGGCCCAGCAAGTGTCAAGTCCAAAAGGTGTGACGCAGGAATGGAAAGAGGCCGGTGTGTTGTGGTGTGGCGAGACCTTGCGAGGTAGGGCATGAGGTGTCAGGCTTTGTGAGTTGTGGAGCTGGGATGAGACTGTCTCATAGGGGCAAAGGGAAGAGTTAGTAAAAGAGCGCTGGAACGGTCAAAAAGTCGTAGCTGTTTTAAAAGTGATCATCATAATTGATTCTGTTCTACATGCTAACACAGCACCGGGGGCTTTAAGTACCTTCATTATGTCAATTATGTCATTTAATTTACCACTTGACAGCCCTGCTGGTCGGGTGGCACTGCGCCCGCTGAATAGGCCTATGATCATGCCCCTGAAGACAGGAGTCAGCTTTGGATGGCGGGCGCCCGGGGCGTTCTACCACCCTCGCCACTGGGCAGGCTGGCACAGGTTCGAAGTGTCAGTTTGCCATCCCTCTGGGCCACTCACCAGACGTGTGAGCTTGGAGGTGTGGCTTGCTCTAAGTCTCAGTTTGCCCACCTGGGACTAATGGAAAGATTAAATGAGATCATCTATGGCCCGGTGCCTGGCACACCGGAAGAGTCAGCAAATACAAGCTGTTGTTATTTGTCAGTATCTTTATTCTCTTCCCTCTCTAGAGAAGGCAATTGGGGGCAGGTCCCCCCTACGTGGATCCTCATCTCCGCCCTCCATTTCTAGAGGTGGAAAACTCGATCCTTGGCCCGTGGGGAAAGTGGCGCTGTCTCTGCGATCTGGGCAAGCAGGAGCGCAGCCGCGAGGTGTTGGGCACGGCCCCGGGCCCGGTGTTCATGGACCGCGACAACCTGGTGCAGGTGAGGCCCTGCCGGCAAAGGGATTGTGCATCCTGCAAGCCGATCGACTGCGACTGGAGGACCTGAGTCCCGGTGAGAGACCGGCGCAGAGGAGGCGGGCCTGGGCAGGCTGGCAAGTCTGGGGCGGCGAGTCCCAGGGGTGGGCAGAAAGAGAGGAAGGGCGGTGGGGGACGGGTACGAGACGGAAATTGGGAAGGGAGAATTAGGGCCCTAAATCTGAGGCTTGAGTCTGGTGGGAGAGGGGCAGTTGAGTCAGGAGACTTGAGCCCCGCTGTTATCTGCGGAGGAAGGAAGAAGGGTGGTGGGGACAGGGAGGGGTAAACACAACTGGAGGAACCCGAACTGAGGAAGGGGCATGGGCCTGGTGAGCGGCGGGGACCCACAGGCATAATGAGCCTGCGTGGTGAGCGGAGACCTTGAGCAGGAGTCTGCTGAGGTCCGGGATCTCTATTGGGGATAGTCGGGGCTTGGCCCGAATGCAGAGAGGGTAGGAAGCAAAGATACTGGGATAGGGGTGGGGGATCCAACAGAGGGAGGGAGTTCGGGGACCCCAAGTCCGAAGGCCTGAGCCCAGTGGAAGCGGGGCTGCCTACTCCGGGGGGCTTAGAATGTGTGGAGGGGCAGGGACGCGAAGTACAAGGGCCTAAATCCAGGCGGGGCACCAAGTGACTCGGAGACCTGTGTTCTGGGAGTGTGTAGTGAAGTTTTATCTTCTAGGCTCCAAAAGGGCGGGGTCTCCAAACCTGCGCTTCATAGCACAGCAGCTGTGATTAGGAAAGAAAAAAGAAAAAGAAAAGCCTGCGCCTCAGTTTCCCCTTTATTTCTCTGTTTTCCCATCAGCATCCGCGGGCGGGACCCCAGCGACCTCGAGGCGGAGCTTGAAAAGCGACCCCACCCACGCCGCTCCCCAAGGCAAGCCTTTGGCTGTAGTCCTTGGGGACTACAGTTCCCAGGAGGCTGCACAGCAGCGACGCCGTCGTCGGCTGCGAAAACGCCAACGCCGACGGGAGCGTCGGGGGCGTGTTCTGCACGCTGATTGGTCTGGAACGAGCGCCGCTGCTGGGCCCGCGGAAAACGCGCGCCGAGACCTGAGCCGGCGGCGGCCCTCTTTTCTGCAGCTGGTGGCGTCGGCCGAGGCGTCATGGATCTCAGCGATCTGGAGAGAGACAATACGGGCCGCTGTCGCCTGAATTCACCTGTGCCTGCGGTGTGCCGCAAGGAGCCCTGCGTCCTGGGCGTCGATGAAGCGGGCCGGGGTCCCGTGCTGGGTGCGCCCCCAGGGCCAGGGAGGGGGAGGGTGGTGATAAGGAGAGAGCAAGTTGCTCTGGAACAGGAGTCGGGATTGCACCGTACCCGGGGAGGAGGGGTGATAGTGATGGCATGGTATCGGTGATGGCACTGAAATAAGCGGCGACGATGGAACAGGGAAGGCGGCTTTCACGGGCTCACTGGTTGGATCCCCGCTCCCGGAAATCTGACACCCCTCCTCCCCAGGCCCCATGGTCTACGCCATCTGTTATTGCCCCCTGTCCCGCCTGGCAGATCTGGAGGCGCTGAAAGTGGCAGGTGAGCTTGGGGTGTATGTCTGAGGAGGAGGATCCTGGGTGTGTGCAGGGGCAGGTGATAACTGGAGGGGTAGGGCAGGAAGTGGGAGAACCAGCTGTTACCCTTTTCTCCCAACTCTCCTCGCAGACTCCAAGACCCTGTCGGAGAGCGAGCGGGACAGGCTCTTTGCAAAAATGGAAGAAGACAGGGACTTTGTGGGCTGGGCTTTGGACGTGCTGTCTCCAAACCTCATCTCTACCAGCATGCTCGGGAGGTGAGGTGTCCCTGGGAGGAGTTGGGGAGGGGGTGGGGGGCAGAAAGCATGGCCTGGGAGGGCTCTGTGGCTGGAATGGGGTTAACTGGGCTCTGTTCCCCCCCGCAGGGTCAAATACAACCTGAACTCCCTGTCCCATGATACAGCCACCGGGCTGATACAGTATGCGTTGGAACAGGGCGTGAAAGTCATTCAGGTGAGCTAACTGTTGGCTTACCCCCATTTGGTCACCTCGGGATAAAACTGGGGTGAAATACAAGGGACAGAATCTGGAGTGCCCCAAGCATATTTATTGTGGGTTTCCTGTTCCTGCCCTAAATTTATGCCCCACTGAGGATCATGGTGGAATGCCCAGCCCCACCACCATCAAATATATCCCCCTATCCTAAAGGCTCAGTGTCTAGAACAAATCCCACATCTGTCCACCTGCCCATAGCCTCTGTCCTAACCCAGCCCTCCCCCCACCTGGATTTCTGCCCAGCTTCCTCCTTGGTCCCTCCACCTCCAACTCCCTCCCCTTCAATCTGCTACCCACGCAGCAGATTGTCGTCTTTTTGAAATGTAAATCTCGACATTTAATTTTCTGATCACAGTGGAAATGAAATCAGGAAAACTCACAGTCATGTGGGGGAGAATGTGATTTTTTTTTTTTTTTGTCTTTTGTCATTTTCCGTGTCCGGCAACGGAACGCAACCCTCAGTGTTGCCCCNTTCTGATCACAGTGGAAATGAAATCAGGAAAACTCACAGTCATGTGGGGGAGAATGTGATTTTTTTTTTTTTTTGTCTTTTGTCATTTTCCGTGTCCGGCAACGGAACGCAACCCTCAGTGTTGCCCCCGTACCGGACCGGGGACCGGCTACGGGATCGCAACCCTCGGTGTTGCTCCCGCGCCTCACTCAGCCAGTGAGCGGGAACCGGGAACCGGTCTGTAT